ATAGGTAGATTTGTGAGTTTCTTAGTTAAAAGGTATTGGTAATTATTTCTAGTAAATGTTGTAGAAAGTTATTACGTTTTAGAGTATCCTGTATGAAATAAGATTGTGAGAGTAAATTAAGGTCCGTGGAACACAAGTTGTAAGATCTGTTTAATAAGCATGTTACAAGATTTATTTTGTATATGAACGGGATAAAGCTGGTAAACTGTGTAAGGAGTCTAGTAAACGTATTTTTTCTGTATATTGATTTACATTAATGAGGATGTTATTGGGGATTATTTTCAACTTCGCATGTGGATTTAATGACAGGATGTTGTGAGTTCGAGTATTCTGAGAATTTTTAGCAGTGATGTTGATTATCAAAGGTGTTATCTACATACCTTCTGTAAAGGATAGGTCTGAAGTCAGCGAGACGGGTGTCGAACCATTTCTGTTCGTGATAAGAAAGTTAAGAAAATGAATACATTTTTTTTCCCACAAGATATTCAATTAAGAAAAATCATGTCATTTACCAACACCACTATATGAATTAATGTTACAGATCTTTCGTAAATTATAGCGAACATGTGTTTACTGCTTAGCCTTGATGACTTACCACGCCCTTAGTGGATTTCACTTCCTACTCACCGGACAGATTTAAGCCTGAAAATGAACGATATAAAGATTTTAAAGTTCCCAAAACAGACTATATCGAGTTTCCAGCCACCGACATATTTTACTTACTGGATTAAAAATATTTCGGTGGGGAGAGGATTTTAAACCTCCGCAACCGACGGAATCCTTAGTAGACTTTTACTTGTTTGTCACGTGCAAAGAGTTCTTCACAGTTTAGTTACACTATACGAGTTAACCAGTATATTGTAACTTCACTGTTTGGTTATTGTTACTTACTGGATTAAAAATATTTCGGTGGGGAGAGGATTTTAAACCTCCGCAACCGACGGAATCCTTAGTAGACTTTTACTTGTTTGTCACGTGCAAAGAGTTCTTCACAGTTTAGTTACACTATACGAGTTAACCAGTATATTGTAACTTCACTGTTTGGTTATAGTTTCCATCGATACAGCTGATATCCAACGTAAGTGTACAGAATATGTTTTACTATTATGAGTTGAGAACACGATTTAAGCAATCAGTCAGCCAGTTAGGGTTTCCAACAAAATAAAATCTAATCTAAATTTTGATTACTGCATCAAACTTGTCGTGAAATAAATACTGTGCGATGTTTATTATGTTCGTAGGTTTTTTATGTTGATAATGTCGAAAAGATTTTTAAGAATTGTAAATTGTCTGTAATATTCCAAATCTATTGAGCTCACTTATATATAACAGTTTCTGAAATATAGAAAATAATAATTAAGTTACAAAATATTTTTTATATCGTATAAAGTGGATTTAATTAAAGGTTTGAAGTTACCGAGTGATTAACTCTCTGCTGTAAAAATTAACGAATCTTCAACCCTAATAATAAATTGTTTAAATGCTTTCGGTAAAAAATGAATACATAGATTATCAGTACTATACTAAAAGCCAATAAAACATGAAATTTAAACTGAAAATTGGGTCCAAATACTACTCTATACATGTATCGTTACATATATAGGAAGTGGCGCCAGAAACAGTTTAGATACATGCCACATCTAACTCAATTATTGTATACAGCCTAGACAGGACGTAATAAAATGTTAATTAAGTTGGTCTGTACTAATTTGATATAAAGTTCCCGTTAAACTAGATCCCTTAGATCACCGAAATTGCCGCAATGCTTCATCAGCGCATGACTCACGACGAGCTCCTGTAACACAAATGTTATAACGTTACTCCTACCCTAACATTGTTTTCATTCTTATATTTAGCTTTCCCAAAGTTTATTCTTTTCTGTAGTTTTAGTGTAACTAACCTAGGATTAGGCTGTCTGTACAGTCTTATCATTAAAGACCATGTACTAATGAGACGATGATTACGTCACTATAATGATATATATTTCCGTGAAACACTTAAATCATTTTCTACTCATTTTAAATATCAGTTTTAATTATTTTTCTGGCTTATTTTGCATTCTTAACACTGATATTCTCAAGTACTTTATAGCCGATCTGTGAAAGACTAGTTTCGAATTAATGTAATAATACTGTTTGATATAGCTGCAACAGTGTGTGATAGAAGCAATGTAATTGCATCAAGACCTAATAAAAATACGTTGTGCTAAGCTATAATAAATTTTCTAACAATTATTTTATCGAAAGTTATAAGATATATCACATTAAGCTTTATCTTACTTAAAATCTGGTTGGTCGGTAAATATCTGTTTGGTAAATATCAGACTGTTTGTTGATGATTTAGTGTGGCTTAAGAGAAATGACTCAAAGCTAAAGAACATATAGTCACTAAGGTTGAAGACAAATTTCAGTTCGCTCCTTCTAGAGGTTATCTTTCCTTAAAGATTATTAGCTCTAGAGCAGTTTATACTTAACATATATTATTCAGTTTTATCCTAAACTCTCTTCAGCAAACCTTCTTCAAAATAATGTTTAGAGCTGTAAGTCGCCGAAACTTTGACATATTCGTGATCGCGATAACAAGTTAACAATACATAGTGACTTCCCTGTTTCGAATGATGCCATTCCAACTTACAAATCTCTCATATAACTTTAAAATACTAATTTTCGATCTAATTTTGAGTTTCGTTTTTAAATGAAAGAATGATTCAATAAAATTACACTTACACTTATAGCTTACAAACTATTGATTACATTAATTGTTAATAGGCGATTAAATCAACACTATAAAACAATAATGAATTACATATCGTATATATATGTGTGTGTATATACTGTCACCACAGGAAAATAAACTCATAAAGTATTGCATAAAATAGAAGAATGAATTATGTTTTGAATTTACACAACAGGGACGTAGTTTTATTGAACCGTTCATACAAACGTGACTAAAATTCAGTATAAACTTAAATCCAATATAAACTTATTTTGAGATATTTTAGACAGAGATCATCCACTCCTTGCTTTTTTTAAACATGAGTGAAAACCTCTCACTAGCACAATTAGCTAGCACTGATTTAATTACTACTTACTGAGGCATGTTCTAAGAAGAAAAGAAGACACGGAGACTTCATAATATTCTGTAAAGTTAGTTCGGTTTTTGGAACGAATGAATTTATTCTATTCTATTCTACGATGTTAGTTTATCAGTATTCAAGAAGATGTTGGTTTATCAGTATTCAAGAAAAATGTTTCCCAAGCACTCTTCTCCCACCTCAGACAGATAAACTCATTTTTATAAACAATTAAATGAGATTAATTGTAAAGAACCTGAACATAAATACTCAGTATAAAAAGATGTTATTTTTCTTGTGTATTATATCTAAAGGAAAATATGAAAAATAAAATAATGTTATAACTATATATGATACCATGTGATTTTACTTGCTTCAATATGTACTTTCATTTGTTGAAGGATGGAAACTTTATTGTTACAATAATGAGAAAATTGCTGTCAGTTTTAAGGGTTGTACACACACTTGAGTTTTATCAATTTTCAGCCTATCAAATGCAAGTCTAGACGTGAGTCTGTGCCACTTTTACTTCATTACCACTTTTTGTTCTACGTCACAACAAAATTCAGTTTTCATAAATAAATACAGACTGTAGTGTTTAAAACTTTACCATGTCGTTAACAGGCAATTAAAACTGTTTTATCCAACTTATATTTTGCAGTTTCACATTCACGAAGATTACCTATTTTATTCTAAATTTCTTAAAATCAATTTGAAGGATTTTAGAACGATACGAATTTCTACACGCTAACAAAAAACGCTCAAAAATTGTATTTTGAATTGTCTGTTTCATATTGTTTCTTATCTTTAACATAACGTATGATGTGAAAACAACTGGAAATAAATAAAATGGTTACTTAGTCAGATAATCTTTTACCAAGGATTGTACATATTTCAAGTAATTTGCTATATATATGGAGGCTGACTACAAAGTATGTGTAACTAATTCATGGAAAAACGAATTAGAAATGTTTCCACTTGCTACAGAATCTTTTCGAAGAGGTTTTAAAGTCTAAAGCTGACACGTAAGAGCTAAGCAACATCAACAGTTGGAGGTTGAGACAGTATTCCAATTATTTAGTAAGGTTTTTATTTTAACGATATCATTGAATCGTTGACTTTCTGGGTACCTAAGCTGTAGAAGTGTAAAAGTTAAGTTAGATTAAGTTAGTGAGAATATTTAGCCCAACGTCATCAGTTGGACTTATTTTCAATGAATCAGGTCTTGTTTTCTGAAACGAAATATAACATCACTTTACAAAAAAACCTTCATACATCTCACTAGGAAAAAAGGCTATTAACCCAATATTATCTTGTTTTTACTTCTTTGTTCTTTGGGTTAAGTAAGTAAATTAATAGATCTTACAATTAAGCCAAGAATATGCAACGTACAAAATGAATACTAATAAATTCAATCTTAGCAGCATACCACCATAATATTAGTTGAAAACGCACACTGAGAGCTGGTATATGACTTGTAGTCAGAACGTAATGCCATATAATTAATTAAGGGAGTACCAAGCCATCTATGTGTCCCCACAGTGCAAACTAATTGATTCCCCGACTTAGATTTCCTAATCTTCTCGTCACACTTAACACAATTTGTAACATACCAAACTTTGAGCTAGTTGCTTAATAGAAGAGAAGATTAGATTGGGTCAAGTGCTATCGTAAGAAAGTTGATTTATTTTCTCGTGTATTTTCGTAATATCCAAGTCCTGAACATGTGCATTAGTTATCTTCTTTACTTAAGGAATCACATGAAGTTATTCTTGTTAAGATGCGTTAAAAGTACGTTAATGAAATTTAAAATAGCACAACATAATTGTTGCATCCAAAAGTGAGTCGAAGAATAAAATCAAAATTTAATTAGACAGATTGTATTTTACTTCAGAGTTTTTAATGTATTTATACTTGCCCTTCACAGGAATGAAGCCCCGAGTGAGAGACCATTACCATGCGCACCATTTATCATTTTGGTTAAATCTTCTCCCATCATTGAACAGAGCTGGTGCTGGAGACGTTCATTTTGAGCACCACAGGCTACATGACTACAATAACCCCTCATCTTATGACGGAATCATCCGTAGTCATCTGTCATCCTCCACTGAGCATGTCACCACCACCTCCTCTACGGGAGAAGACAATGTTCCCACGGAAGGCAGCGAAAATACTTCAGATTCACAAGGGAAGTCGAGCATGGAAGTAACTTCACGAGGTGTAGTGGAAAAGAACGTAATTGCTACTACAACAACAAATAAGACAGAAACTAAAACCGTTGTATACCAAGAAGGAATATACTCCACAACACTCAGCGTGACCATCGCTGTGGGATGTTCGCTTTTAATCCTGAATGTTTTAATCTTTGCTGGAGTTTATTATCAGAAAGACAAGAAGAGAGATTTCAAACTTGACAAGAGAATTTACGAGGTAAAGCAGAATGAATAATATATGTATGTTTGTTTGTGATTCAGTTAAAGAACTGGGTCAAAAACAACTAGAGACGCACATATGTGACAAGCAAATTCAAGTTACATTCTTAGTGGGAGACTAAGTTCGGATATAAGTTTCACCCAGAACTGAGGAGATACCGTCTGTCAGATGGTTTTATTGACACAATTTACACTTAGAATGAAAGTTTTAAATTACTTTAATACTAAGAGCTAATTTAGATTATCAAACCGAATCGTCCGGAATCTAAGCAGCCATTTGTAATCAGGGTCTTATGGGAAAATAATGATTTCTCAAGAAACGAAGTAAAGAACGGAAATAATTAATGTTTTATTTACACAATTCACACTTAGAATGAAAGTTTTAAATTACTTTAATACTAAGAGCTAATTTAGATTATCAAACCAAATCGTCCGGAATCTAAGCAGCCATTTGTAATCTGCAGGGTCTTATGGGAAAATAATGATTTCTCAAGAAACGAAGTAAAGAACGGAAATAATTAATGTTTTATTTACAAAATTCACACTTAGAATGAAATTAGTAAATTAATTTAATGCGCAAAGCTAATGTAGATTATCAAGCCAATTCGTCTACCATCTGAGCAACCTTTTATCATCTGCAGTTTATTGAGGTAAAAGACACAAACTATTAGTCAGCCGAGCGAAAATGTTAATTATCATTAAACGTTCTAAATGTTTAGCTGGTATTATGTGACCTCTGTGTGTTAAAATATCAAGTTATGAAGAAAATGTATATTTTTAACCTTCAGCGGTCTGTATTTAAAAACCAGTTTAAGAACATTTATTTCTAGTTTCGTTCAGTTTCACTCTTTCCTTCATTAGAAAAGCTTATATTCCTACAGGTGGTGTCAGACAGTGAATGATACTGTTATAAGTGAGTTTTTTCAGTCTTTATTATAAATATTTAGTCCTAATTTTTAAGTTCTAGCGAAGTTTCAGATAGAGCTTAATCTTATATACAAAGAATCCCAATATGTGGACCCTACTTTAACGGAAGTAAAAGAGTGAAAAATAGAGAACTCGCTAAAAGAAAAAAAAAGTACAAAAGATGTACAGAGAAGTGTTCTTTACTAATAAGCCACTTCTTACCTTCCTAGTAACTGGATCACTCATTTTTTCTATACCTTGGACCTTGGACTTCTAAAGGACTTCAAAAATAAGATAAATAATACCCAGTCAACCCTTGCTGTTAATGAAGTGTGACCTTTTGACTGACCACTGTGGATTCATACTACCCACAATATAGATATCTCTACAAAACATGTTTACACTTGTTCGATAAAATGCCTCAATTACGACCAGGAAATACCAATTATATTTTAGAAAACAAAATACAGAAATATATTAATTCTGCTTCATAAAGATTTGGATATCGATAGAATATAATTGAAAATTAGACAAAACAAGAACTCGTTGAGAATTATTGTAAACAACAAAAAAGCACTCACTTGTCTGGAAGAATGGAATTAAAATAAAATTGCTATTTTTTTGGTATAGAATTCACTATACATCATTGTGACTGTAGTAGTCTTCATAATAAGTAACATAATCCAAACATACTCGAATGAAACAATTTCAATGAAATTTGTCAGCGAATATATTTCGCTCAACAAACAACCATTTATTCACAAGATAACTATGCTGCTTTCAAAGCTATAAGGTTTACAAACAGCAAAATCACTACAGTAGGTGTAAAATTTATAGTGCAAATTTGGTAAATTTTATCCAAATTTTTTATGAGTCAAATCTCAAATATAAGTGGAAACATCTCACATAATTACAAACACTATTGATATATATGTCACCATAAGTAATTATATCTGCTTCAAGACATTCGGGTTATTTAGCCTACCGAACTTAAAGCTCAAAGCCACATAAAGTTTGGTAAATTTGGCCCAATATTTAGATATATAAATCAAACACGAAAACCGTTCTATCTGTACGATTTTCTATAAATATTTTTACTATTATTTCCCTACTGTTAACTTAATATCTTCACACAGCTGAAAGAAAATGTTAATCTCCAAAATTTCCGGCTTTGACATATTATATTCAGAACTTTATATGCCTGTTATATGTAATTTCTAACTCCTTTTTGATAAATGATTTTCAAATAAATGAAACTATATCTTTTTTTTAAACTTATCGTATTTAAAAAAAATAACTTTTTTTTTCAAAATTTAATTTAGAACTTCCAATAAGTTCTAGATGGCTTACATAAGCTAATAACATTTGTTTGTTTTTTTACTTTCATTATATGAAGTACTTAAACTGTTTGGGTATCTACACACACACACACACACACACACACACATATATATATATATATACAGATATAGAGAAAATGCATATGTGTATTATTCATCACCTTCCAAAAAACTTCAGCACCTTTGATTAAAATATAACATTTTAAAATTAATTTGTTTTATTATGAAAACGTGAAAAGTAGCTTCTGTTGCATATTAGCGTATGTCTAGCAGTAATGACCAAGCCACATATGACACTAAAGTGTGTGGCCTTTTGACTGACCACTGTAGAGTCATACTACCCAGGACATAAGTAGCTCTACTGTGTTTAATACTTGTATAAATATTTACACTCTTTTGAGAAAGCTTAAAAGTCAGTAAAGTTACCGTAACTGTTGTAGCCTGCCAAATTTACCTAGCCCCATCAATAATCCCACACTTAAGATGTTTGTTTTTCTCACCATTTTTATGTTGTTGGGTTACATTCTACACAATGATGTTTCAAGTTTCCCCTATTAAACACTCTATCGCACACAGAAGCAAAGCCTCATGAATATTAAAAAGTGCAAAGTGCAAAGTGAACGGCTTTTGCCACTGACCTTTACCAAGTACAAGGGCTGTCTCCTTCTTGGAAATTCTAATTCTCTGATTTAAACACATCTTTATAATCTGAATATGTAAATATTTTGCATTAAAAATGGCAGTTTCATATCTTTCCAAAAAGAACTGATAATGAAAATTGTTTTTTAAACGTTTACTTATAAAATACAATAAAAATGGTTTAAATAATATAATGTAGATATATAGTTTCTTGTGAACAGCTTTATTTCTATAGGAACTTTATGAGAATAGAACATTCATAATTATCTGTATTTACTTTCATCCCAACCCATAATTGTTCAACTTCAGCCTCTTAACAGAAAAGTGAAACTAACGAATCAAGCAGAAGTATATGTGATTAAAGCGTGTGGTCTTTCTAATAGCCACCAGAATGTGGAGATGATGACCCTTTGCCAAAACTTAACCAAATGAAAATGGAGTTAATGCATGCAAAAGCCCACTCTTCCACCATACCGTCCACTCATCCTCAAGACCTGTGTTTCCAACTTCCTCCTTCTTCTATACCTCTTAATACGGTTCCATATTCAACCAACCAAGAGAAAATGCCACCACCAGAGGGCCAGCCGCTTCTGTCGCACAACTTTCGAGGACCGGCCACTGTTCGAGCTAGTCAGGAGATGAGGGTGTGAGTAGGTGTCTGTTCATGATTATAAGCATGGTTTGGGTTCATTATTCTGTCACTTAAAATAATTTTTCATACGCAATGACCAGAATATAATGAGGTGAATAAGGTATTGTTCATAAGCACAAGTGTAGCATCGGCTCAGGTTAGTAAGTTTTTTTTTATTGAGCACTAGATAGAACATAAAAAGTGTAATTAGGTGTTTGTTTATGATTAGAAATGCGGTTCTAGTACACTAGCCAAAAGATGAGGGTTTTAATAAGTATATGTTTATAAGTATGAACATGCTTTTGGTTAATACTACCAAATTTCTTGAGAGTTTTTATTCTTTGCACATTAACCAGAAGATGGAAGTCTAAGTAGGTGTCAGTTTAGAATTGTAAACATGATCCTCTTTTAGGTTATTAAGTCATTTGAGCTATCGCTCTGTTACCACTGAATGAAGTTGCGATTAAATGTTTATCTGTGGTTCTGATTTAGATTAGTAAGTCATCTGAGCTATTGCTTTGTTACAGAGGTACCATTGAATGAGGTTAGGTGTTTATCTGTGGTTCTGGTTTACGTTAGTAAGCCACTTGTTCTATTTTCCTCTTTCTCAGTATTGCAATGAAATTACTTCAGCCTAGGATAATAGTGGTAATTACTTCAGCCTAGGATAATAGTGGCAATTACTTCAGCCTAGGATAATAGTGGCAATTACTTCAGCCTAGGATAATAGTGGCAATTACTTCAGCCTAGGATAATAGTGGCAATTACTTCAGCCTAGGATAATAGTGGCAATTCTAAAATTAAAATATTTTTTCAAGGACTGAGATGTATTATCGACAGTAAAAATGAAACTGAAACTTAAGTCAAATTTTGAATAAATAAAAATATTAGTTGACTTAAATTAACACAATAAAAACGTGGTAGGATTCAATTCTAGTCTTATAGTGAAGTCAATAGTATTCCATAAATTTTGTAATATCGAAAATGAATAGCAATACATACTGTACCTAATAAATTTTACTTATTCACACTATTAGGTATTCAATGTTTTTTCTCCAATAGTAGCATGATAATTTAATTGTTTATTTTACATTATTGATAAATATATTAAAATAAGTAATAACGAACAGGTATCAAAGCGAGAAACGGATGAAGAACCTTCATACTGTAAGCGCCCCCCAGTGGCCCAGCGATATGTATATGGACTTGCAGCGCTAGAAACCGGGTTTCAATACCCGTGGTGGGCAGAGCACTGATAGCCCATTGTGTAGCTTTCTGTTTGCATTTTAACAAACAAACAAACATACTGTAAAGATGTAAAATTAGAGAAGTAATTCTTATAAAAAATCCAGGTTAAAAACTATAAAAGTTAATGCCGAAAGAACCAAAGCTATGACATGACTTAATGCCGAAAGAACCAAAGCTATGACATGACTTAATGCCGAAAGAACCAAAGCTGTGACATGACTTAATGCCGAAAGAACCAAAGCTATGACATGACTTAATGCCGAAAGAACCAAAGCTATGACATGACTTAATGCCGAAAGAACCAAAGCTATGACATGACTTAATGCCGAAAGAACCAAAGCTATGACATGACTAATCAATTCAAATACAGACGAAAACAGAGAGAAAAAAAAACAGTTTTTTGCTTTATTAAGAATAACAATAATTTTATAGCCAAGTTTAATATGGATGTATTTAACCAGTTAAATAAACATTTTATTCTGAAATAATCTGATTATACGAGTAAAAGAAAAAATACAGTAAGTATATTGTCATGACTCTAGTTTCATATTTACACACACTGAACGACAGCTCCGTTCTAAACTCCGAAACTTCTAGTTTCTCAATTCATATTTCCAGTTTGTTCACAACAAGAAGGTTCATACAAGCACCTATGTGTTTAATGATATATTTTGTTTAGGTTCAGGCAAAAATGCTGATTTTGATTACAAATATATTGAACAAAACGATAAAAACCCTATAACCCGAGCGCTTTCGGAAAGTCCACCTTTCAAAAGCGTTCAGGTTACAGGGTTTTTGTATTAAGACTTTTTTAACCTACGTGTTTTCTGACATCATGAAAATATATTGAGCATGTGTTTATTTAAACTTACATGTAACATATTGTGAGCAACAGTCGAATTTCCATAAACGGTATATACACATTACTTAATCACAGTGTTTCTGTTATAACTGATATTTTCCAAGTATCTATCTGAATCCTTCAAACATGTGCAATGACTTTTTCTGTTGCCTATAAATATAATACACTAATTGTAACACTTGTGCAAAGATACAAACGTTTTAAAGCTGATTTAGATCCTGAAAATATCGACGAATCATATCAACACAGTAGTTTAGAAACTGCCAAAGATGCAACTTTACATAAACCTTTCAAAAAAAATACTCTAAATTTTAAGAACGTAAACTTCTAAAGTAGCAAGTTAAACAATTATGTACAACTTCCAATTGTAAAATATGTTCTAGAACAACGATTTCCTGAAATATTTAGTAGATACACGTCGCCCAAGTGTACTTTACAAACTGTTATCACGCACTTACATTTGAAAATATTTTTATGCTACAAAGTTTTTATTATATGTTCAGAAAGTTCAGTTTTTATCGAGTATTCTTAATGCTAAATAATATAGTGTTCACCAAATATTAAAGAGGTTGGGTACATTATGCTAAAACGATTTAGGAGCGCCGCCACCTCGTTACTTTCCATGTCGCCACGTCTGGGCATGCTCTATCTGATAACCATACATCTTGATAATATTCCTGTAGCTTTATTTTCATTGCAAAATGCTCCGTTGTAAGGCTTTCATGTTTAAAACATGTTCCTCCTCTCGGCGGCTTTCCATAAGCCATCTAGTCTACGAGCATGATGGTTTCCCAACGTCCGTTTCAACAATCCAAGTGCACAGAAATCTATAGGCGCTATATGCAGCGACTTGACTGCTATGTCTTCACATTAATACCTGTGTCATTCTCTAGCTGCTTCGAGTATGCGACAGTTAAACGAATATTCCATAGAAGCCACATGTGTAACTCTTCCAGGTGGACATCCTTCTTGGTTATGTTGCATACTGTTGTCTGGCCCATGTGGTCGGCTTTTGCCACTGACCTTTATGTTCATGGAATTTCAGCTCTTATAAGACGCTTATTTTTACCACGTCTCGGGTACGCCTTGTTGCAAATCTCTTTCTGGATATCTCTGTTTTCCAATGTCATTAAGCACAGGGTTGTCTCCTTCTTGGAAATACTAACTCATCGATCTAAACACATCTTTTTAATTCGAGAGTTAAAATATTTTGCATTGAAAAGAGCAAGTTCATATTTTCCAAAAAAACAATCAATTTTCGGTGCCATCGTACAACTTACATAACGCCAAACAATGTCAAATGTAGTTCTGATACATGTCGTTCTATTATGACTTTAAATCGGCTGTGTTTGTCATGTGATTTACTGACTTGTATCATCAAAACCGTTTTAATATAACTTACTCCATCCTCTGTATATGATGTTTACAGTTTTCAGTGTGAACATTTATAAATATAGTATTATCTCATCGGGTAGTTTCCATTTAAACAACAATCTGTTTATAATAGCTATCTTTTTTAGCTTGTTTGTTTAAAGAAGAATATGCAGTAGAGATTATTATTATAAGCTAATAATATTATAGCTATACAAGGGCAGTGAGCATAGAGTGGACAAAACCAAATAGAAGTAATAACAAACTGTGATTAAGCTATTACAAGTGTTATTTAGTCATGGAAGTCATGCTATTGTTTGTTTGCTTTCTCATGGAAGTCCTGCTATTGTTTGTTTGTTTTCTTCATCCTGTATATGTGAAGTTTAATGTTATTTTTATTTTTCTTAGTCATTTTCAGGAGCGGCCTGGTGAGACCACAGTTTAATAGTGACCAGAGAGACAGAATCCTAGTAAGAAATCAAAGTTGAAGTAAAAGTCTACACAGAGGGCGCTTCGTTATCTTGTCAGCTACGTAGAGTATTAAGTCTCTATTTTCTGAAATGTTATGCTAGTTCGTGGAGTTTTGCTTTTACGTTTTCGCCTAACGAGCTTTAATATTAAACGGTGTTATATACATTGATGGCTGTATATTTCATTGAACAGTTCTAAATATCTACCGGTTATCAAGCCTGTGATACATATAAGCTATTTCACTTTCAGATAAGGTATAAAAATTGTCAGTGTTAGACGCAGCTGTCGTATAATAGAAACAATTTCCGTTGACTCAAATCCAGCAATCATTATCTTAATTTGGATATTAAATTAATTAGAGCTTTACTGAAAACATAGAAAATTTCCTAGTAGTTTACAGTTAGTCGAAAAAGTCGCCGTTATCTATTCTTATTTAAATACAACCATCATAAAGTGTAGGATCTTTTCAGAATCGTGTGTTCGAATATTTGTGTTTGTCCACAGACCTTTTCTTCCTTGAATTTAATAAAACAGAAACTTTATTGTACATTATTGCATAGTTTACTCTTAAAAAAGACTTTTCTGCATAGACGCAATATATATATTACTATATCAACCATTAGTCGCTTATCCTTTCTCTACATTAGCACTCCTTACACTTAAGAAAGTGGCACTATCAGCTTATGAGACATCACTAAGAATGGACTAAAGTAGCTTAACAAATGTGACTGCACTGCGTGGTTATTTAAAATAATTCCGCAATGAAAAATGTAACACTGAGCACTCCTTACATTTAGCAAAGTGGCACTATCAGCTTATGAGACGTCACTAAGAATGGACTGTACTGCTCGGTTATTCAAGGTAATTCCACCATGAAAGCTATGGCAATTAGGAAAGTGGCACTACCAACTCATGTGACGCCACTAACAAAAAAATGGACCGAAGCAGCTTTACGAATGTGACCGCACTGCTTGCTTATTCAAGATAATTCCACCATGAAACCTGCAACATCAAAATTAACACAGTCAAGCATTACATGTGTAGTTTTAGTAGAGTACCAGCAAAGTTCTACGTTTCATCAAGATTACTATTAATGTTTGGGGTAACAATATATCAATTGTTTTCACTGTTAATGAGTAGCAAATAAGTGCTCCTGTTTCCGGTACTACTTTGGAATATGATGAGTAATGAGTAGCAAATAAGTGCTACTGTTTCCAGTACTACTTTGGAATATGATGAGTAATGAGTAGCAAATAAGTGCTCCTGTTTCCAGTACTACTTTGGAATATGATGAGTAATGAGTAGCAAATAAGTGCTCCTGTTTCCAGTACTACTTTGGAATATGATGAGTAATGAGTAGCAAATAAGTGCTCCTGTTTCCAGTACTACTTTGGAATATGATGAGTGATGAGTAGCAAATAAGTGCTCCTGTTTCCAGTACTACTTTGGAATATGATGAGTAATGAGTAGCAAATAAGTGCTCCTATTTCTGGTACTACTTTGGAATATGATGAGTAATGAGTAGCAAATAAGTGCTCCTGTTTCCAGTACTACTTTGGAATATGATGAGTGATGAGTAGCAAATAAGTGCTCCTGTTTCCGGTACTTCTTTGGAATATGATGAGTTATGGATGAATGAGAATAACATTAAATAGATTTTTCAGAGAAATGTAAATTTGAAAGTTATCCACGTAAGTAATCAAATTCATTCGGACGATCCAACATACAAAAATCGAAACAATATATAATCCTGAAATGCAGACATAATAATTTGTTTAAGTTAAGAATCAACCATTTATAGGTGATTTAACACACGGGAAAGTTTCTCAAATGCAACATTAAATGTTTTTTTAGTATAAAGACGTCTGGAAACGTGTATACAATATTAGTAAATTCCCAAGTGAAATATTTAAACCTACAGGGATAAAACAAATTATTTCTAAAATAAATTTAGCCACACAACGATAGAATTCTGAACTATAAACCAAATTCTCTTAAAATAGGGGTTAAGTACCATAAGAGTAATAGGAGAAAAAATGTAAAGCCAAATTTTTAAGCTATTGAGAAAAAAAAATTTTTTGAATCAGTCCTGAATTTAGTAGTTTACTAATAAAATATACCTAAAATTAATTATTAAACAAATACGTAGACCGTGAAAAACGGGTAAAGAAAACTAAGAAAAAATAGTTAGTTAATGAAGCTTCAAAATTATAAAATATTAATCAAATGACAGAAAAGCTCAAAGCTCTTGAATTTATGACAACTAGTTTTCTATACACGTCGCTCATTTTGACGCTTATGATTAGCTTTATTGTCAAACATCACGATTTTCATTGTAATAAGTTTCTAAGAAGGACGATAATGTCAACTTAGGCTGCACATCTTGATAAACTTTCTACAGAACGTCCATTGCATATGAGAAACCTGCGGCACCAATAAAGCCCGACAAAAGCTTTCCTTATATTTTCTGTACTATTTTAAAAGTCTTGATCATCTCATCATCGATAACCTCTTGTCACAATCTTGAACGATTATACATCAAACTTCATCCATTTATTTTTACAAGCAATGTATTTTTTGTGCAATCTTGTGTGGTTTCTTTGTAATTTCCAGTGTGCCTACGGAGCCGCTTATATACTTAAAACGTAGACATTTTTATACACACACACACACACACATATATATATTTAATTGACGGGAATTCCTGACCAGTTGACAGTGCAATGCCGCCGAGCATAAAGTCATGGTTGGAGGGTTGTGGCACAGGCATTCTGATGTAGGATATTCGCGTATCGATATAGAAAAGATGTGCAAAGTCCGTGGTATAGCAGTTTCAAAGATGATTATATATAACATCGTGAACATCTCCTTAAAGGGGAGATCACGTTCATGTAAAGCGCTTAAACAGCGTTTTTCACGCTAATATTTTGAAAGTTCACAACCTGGTCGTCAAGAAAATGTTCGTTACCAACCAGAAAGTGATTACTAAGAAATTGGATTTGTCCCAATGAACTGTGCACAGAAGCATTAACAAATATCTCACTCTTATGTGTGTATTATGAAAACTTTCTTATAAAATGCTGTTAACCTTCCATGAAACTTTATTGTTTAAAATTGTTGCACTGCATATATAATTCTTCAGATCTCAGAAAATGTTGTTTAATTTTGAAACATCGAAGATTTGAAAAAATATATTAAAAACGCAGACTGACAATTAAAATCTAGGCATTTCAGTAGATACTTTCGCTTTCCTCAGACGATTCATTCAACATTTCAGCAAAAGATGTCGCCTTTAACAGTGGAAATAACCAGGAATGATGACCACTAAAAGAAACATTCAAGCCCAAGTGATTTGCTTTATGCATTTAAGGTTTTTATTTTAACCAACTTGTTTATTATTAAGACCTGTATATCAATAATTTTATAGGTAAAAAAACTGAAAAACTGTTCCTGAAAGTCGTTTTAAAAATTATAAGGTAAAAATAAAAAGCGAAAAATATTTAAAATAACATAAACTTACGAAACTCTTAAAACTTGAATGATGCGAGATTCTTATACATCTGATTTTACAACAATCTTTAACTAAGACACGTAGTGAACTTGATATACCCACGCATCTTAATTTTCTCCAATGTTTGTTTTAAACTAATTATCAGTAACTTCTGATAAAAACAGAATTTGAATTTCACGAGGATTATCTGTGCTAGTCGTCTCTAATTTAGCAGTGAAAGACTAGGGGGAAGATAGCTAGTCATCACTCCCCACCGCCAACTCTTGGGCTGCTCTTTTACCAACGACTTGTGGGATTGGCCGTCTAATTATAACGCCCCCATGGCTGAAAGGGCGACCATATTTGTTGGGACGGGGATTCGAAATCGTGACCCTCAGATTGATAGTCGAGCGCCCTAACTACCTGGCCATAAGGCCAGAGCTAAATGCTGACCTAGTAATGAGTACAACAAGTTTAATATACTGATAATAACAAGGAGTGTGGAATATAACAAAACAATAACTTATACTGATTAGCGTACACTGATTTTATCAGTTTGGCTCCCTTTCTGCTACAGAAACTTTCGGACGTAATCCCAATAGTGTCTAATGAGGTTCGGCCTAAAACACATTTTGCTTTTTCTCGGTGATTATTTCAGACTAAATTACTTGTAAATATGACGAGGGGTTCTTATTGATCCCAGTGATTATGTTACATTAACAGCATATAAGGACATCCTGAATCGCTAACAAATTCCGATTTTTCTAACTGATTATTTAATGAACCTCAATTAACTTCTTTCTAAATACAAAACCAATTAGTGGCTTTCCTTGTCAGTTCTATTAATGCAGCTAATGTCATAAATAACACAAAATAACTTCTTCCTGAGTACAACCACTCATCCTGATTAACGTCGCTGATCGTTTTTAAAAAAAAACGCAAGTAACCTATTCCTGAATGCGAACAAACGTCTTGGTTTTCTCCAGGGTTTGTGTTAAATTGATAAGATTTGACGTATTCTTGATTAAAGCATAGTGATTTCTCAGTTATTGCATTAAAAAAAGGAGCCAACTTTTTCCTGAATACAACCTTAATTTCCAGTTATTCTCAGTTACGATGTCACATAAACAACAAGGAATGTATTCCTCAAATACGAACACAAATTCTAACTTTCCTCGATAATTGTTTTAAATCAGCAACAGCTAATTTTTCCATAGAATTCGGCGAAAAATCTTGGGTTCGCACAGTAATGTATTAAAAGCTTTTTTTCTCTTTCTTGTTAATCACATAGCTACACAATGAGCTATTTCAACTATGCCCACCACAGATATCGAAACCCGAATTTTAACGTTATAAGCCTACAGACATACTGCTCAGCTACGGGGGAGGAAGGGGGAAATGTTAAAGGCAACAACTAATGTGCTCCTTAAATAGTAACATATGTTGTATTTTGAATGAATGTTTTGAAATGTGACCACAGATTCTGGTTGATTTAACTGTTTTAGATACCAACTGGTTGACTTAACTGTTTTAGATACCAACTTCTTCCTGAAAAATACTACAAATTTTCATTTCCCCAACCATATTGCAATGAAAAGTAACCAATATCTTCTTGAAATATGAAATACATAGTTTAATTTTTCTCATTGATTATGTTAAATGGATACTAACTAATAAGGCCACATATTCTGCTCCCCATCCCCCTTACTTTGGTGTAAACCATGTAAACAAACAGCTACTAATGGTTATATAAAATACTCGATCACATATCCTGGTTCAATACAATGACTGTTTTTTTTTAACTTATCATAAACTAACGTCGTCCTGAAATACGACCACAAATAATGCTTTTTTATTGATTGTGTTAAATTAAAAACAGTTCTAAGTATGAGAACAAAGTCTGGTTTTCCCCAGTAACTGAGCTAAATGTTTAAAAAATGTAATGTTCCTAACAATCTATCATACACACATTCTCATATTCTGACTTTTTATACAGTTGGTGTTTCATTTAACACAAGCAGTAAGTAAAATTAGTATTTGTGTTCACGTTCCGTAAA